ATTGAGTCCCACTGTCTCTAAGAAGAAATGCTGCAATTCCATAAGATTTTTTTGCTTCTATATGTATGATCCCTCTGTACATTGTATAAATACACAGAGTATCCATTATTTGTTTAAACTCATTTTTTGTGGCAATCTTTTTTTATATAGCTTCATTTAATAGTAACACTTTCTAAACTGCTTAGCTATCATTAAAACAAAATCTCATGTTCGCTGCCCATTTGTATGTAATGGGGTTAGGTGTCCACTACTATTTTTGCAATGTATTCTTTTTACTTTTAACAAGTTTAACACTACCAATTTTCTCAAAGCCAACACAAAAAATTACTTGGCATTTAAAAACAAAACAATGTTTGCACATTGTCACTTCTCATGCATGTAATGCAAATCAGAAGAACTCTGATCAGTGGAACACACAAAAAAATTGTCACTAACGGTGATACTTTAATTATAGTCACTGCTCTGTGATAGTATCCCTGGGTGCACGCACATGCAATGTTCTGCTGCCCTTCAGTGTAACGGCATCACTTTACTATTTGTCATGGGACTGATGCACATAGACAGTTACTATGGAATACATGAGCCACTGTCTTTATCTGTGTCTGAACATGGCATCTCAGAGGCACCAATGTAATGTGGTGGTGACTAAGAGCATTCCTGTTAAATGTCTGACATCGCTTCAGTTCCAGATGAGTTATCCTTCTATGGTGTCAATGTAATTGCTAGAACTGGACCTTCTTGTTACATCTTAAACTGTGCTGGTTTTGAGGCAGGAAGTACACTCTGACTCTTTGTCGTTCTTTTGAATTTGTAGTAATGACAAAAAAACTATAAAATGCTGGTTTGGGAAAAGTAAGCAGATTGGATATTGATTAAAGGAAACAGAATGCATCCTCATCAAGTATGCAGCTGAAACTGAACTTGGGGCGCTATCAGTGCGGTTAAGGGTGTGGCTGTCCTTTTGGAAGGACCTATGCAGGTAGAGAAATGGGTCAACAAGAACATCATGAAAGTCCAGAAGGACAAGTGCAAAGTCCAGTACCTGGGACAGGCTTGGTGCAAGGTGCAATGGTACAAGGCTGGGAACCTGCTCTGGTGAAAAGGACCTGTGGTTCCCAGTAGATAGTAAGCCAGCAGTGCGCCTTGGCCGTGACATGCTGGACTGCATCAACAGGAGCATAGCTAGTATATTGAGAAGTATATTGGGAAATATATTGAGAAGTATATTGGGAAATAATATTCCTCTTTGCTCAGCACTCATTACAATACATCTAGACTATCTAGACTATTTCATCCAGTTTTAGGGACCCTAATGTAGGAAAGACATCGCTAAGCTGGAGTGAGTTCAGCAGAGGACCACCAAGATGATGGTTGGGGCACAGGAGCATATCTCCTGTGGGGAGAGGCTGAGGGAGCTGTGCTTACTCAGCTTGGAGGAGGCTTAAGGGGAGTCTAAAAGCTGATGTAATTAATTAGTAAACAGCCAATACCTAAAAGAAGGTTACTGAGAAGATGGAGTCAGACTCCTTACAGCAGTGTATGGTAGGAGAACGAGAGAACATGATAAAATGGAGAAAGAAAAAATAAAAATTGAGATGACGATAGTCAAGCATCGAAGAGGTTACCCAGAGGTGATAATACCTCTGTCTCTGGAGGTTTTCAAAATCCGGCTGGACGGAGATGTAACAATCTGGTGTGCATTCAATGTTTAACCACTTTAAGCAGCAGGTTGCACTAGATGACCTTGGAAGGGTGATAATTTTGATTCAATAATTTCTTGGTAAAACTATTCTTTAAGGTAGCGTTTCAGAATGATGGTATGGCAGCTCATGTAGGTATTGTGTACCTGAAGTGACGTTGCTATTGCAAACTATGACTTCCTTGCTTGACAGTTGAATGTTTTGCATTGAATTAAGCACTTAATGTGATGCACATTAATTGGTAATTTTGATTTTCCAATTCTTTCTTGCTTTTCTATATATATGTGCGTGTGTGTTTAACTTTTTTTTTGGCAGACCTCAACTTTTGGTCCTGTTAAACCTGGATAGTGAGCAGTTGGTGAAACATCCTAGATTGCTTTCTTTCACCTCTCAGTTGAAGGCTGGTAAAGGACTGACTATCGTGGGCTCTGTGCTTCAGGGAATCTACTTGGATAAATGCACAGAAACTCAGAAAGCTGAAGAGGTATGTAAAAGACAGCTTACAAACACTTGTAACTTCCATTAGTATTTAAATGTCGAAGCTGGATAACTTGAATTTGAACAGAATGTTGTAAAGTGTTGAATAAAACATCAATTTTTTTTACTATCAGCACAATGAACGATGGTATATTAAAGAGTAGGTTGGTGTGTGCAGCAAAATGTTTTATAAAATTTCCCAATAGGATGAGACAATGCCGATACTTCCTAGACTTTTATTTTCTTTACTATTGAGAGCCCCGGGCTCACAATCAAATTACAGTCTTGAAAAAACCCAGTGATAGATTTCTAACAAATTACCTTATAAAGAAAACAGATTTGTTTAACAAAAAACTTAACATTTGTCTAACAAATGCAGATGTGTTTGGCATAATTTCATCCTCTGGATGTATACATGATATTATTTTCTACATTGTCCTAGAAATACATAGCAGAGCTAGGACTAGGAGCAGTCTTGCTGGAATCCTACTCTGTTGCTTACCTGTAAACAGCATCCTTCTTGAAATCCGTTCACTTTTTCTCTTTTTTTTCCCCTTTCTTATTTATCCCGTATCTCCAGAGAAGGTAGGATGAGGTAGGAAGAAACAGTGAGTTGTCACGTAATTTTAAGATGACATCTAACTGTGCTTACAAACACAAGTGAATTTAATTTGAATGTTTCTCTTTTTTTTTTCCTGACAACTCGTCAGTGTTTGACTGTGCTACCCGATTGGAAATACGTAGACATTTTTGTGGGAAGCCCTTGAAAACACCTGAACTTAGTTTTAAATTGTCCCCTTGTTGAAGATGATCTTAAATTTTACTGAATCTTAAGGTTATGAATTGATCAACTAAAAGAATATTTTGATTCTAATAAGTTAGCCCCTATGGTAGCATTATGTATAGGTTGCTGTGTTACTTATTATTTGAGGCTGTGTTGCTTGAAGTCCCTATTCCCTCTTCTCTGGACTCTCTAGACCATAACCAGAGCCTCTAGGTTCTATTGTTTATGGGATGAGTTATTTGACAACCTGGCAAGGTAGATATCCAGCTGGCCAACTTGGCAACAAAACTCGAGGCTCAATCAGAAGAGTGCCTATCCCTAAACTGAATCTTTACCATTACTCTTACCATAAGCCATCCACAGTTGTCTATGAATGCCTGCTGATGGTCCTGCATCATGGCTCTCCGAGTGCCTTTTACTATGTCCCAGGAGAAGCCAAGAGCCATTTGGAGAGCACCAGGGCATCTGATTACATTTCTCTTCTCCCCAGTGGTCTGAGAATGCCTTTTCATGCTTTTTATATACTGTGCAAATCTATCACCTTCAGATGTCTTCTGGTCAGTTCACAGGGCCTCCATGTGTCTTTCATTGTACCTGAGGGCCCCTGGAGTGCCTTTGGTGTGCCCCCAGTGTAGCTCTGAGTGCCTATACATAAACCTAATCCTAATCCAAAGCCTAAACCTACACCTACACCCAGTGGTCTACAGGTGCCTTTTGGTGTGCCCCAGCAGTGTTTGAGAGCCAGCTGAAGTTCACTGGGTCATCTGATTATCTTTTTGTGTTCCCTCTGCTGCTGTGCATCAAACTACAGGGACTGGTAATGGCTGCTTTCAGCTTTCACTGTTTATAACTTTGTTTTTCTTTGCCTGGAGAGCTATGATAAAAGCACTGGCCTTGAGCCTAGTCAGGTATTTGGGCCTGCATCACTGCTGTCCCCAGGCTGAGAAACAGATGTTGATTGTATTATAAAAGAATAGTTTATATATGTTTAAATAAAACCATTCTTTTTAGAGTAGAACAATCTATAGATACCCAACACACACTTCAGGTCTTAAACAACATTTACAAAACTAAACACAGAGTGTCCAAAAAGGGGCAGAATTCTGACAGAAGCAAAAAGTTTCTATTGAGCACCTAAACTAAGTTGTTCAACAATTTCAAATGAAACACACTTAAGAGCTCGTTCAGTTCAGAAAAGCAGATTTTATTTTAAACAGCAGCACATACATACAACATTTTCAAAATATACATATTTGAAAACAAGAGACAGCACTTCATTAACCAGCTCGCTGCATTTTATCAATTGTTACAGTTATATTTGCAACCAGGTGGCATTACTGCATCATAGCCTTCCTATGAGTTGGATGCTCTTAGGTTTCACTGGTATAATTGTGCAATATACTATAACTGCTAGTAGCTCATGAAAAAACCCACATAACTTCTCAGTTTACTCTTACTGTCACCTGGAGCCTTCAGCTACCTGACTAAGTATTTCAAAAAACATTTCTCTATTCAAAACAAGTGTGGCAAATCATGGAACTTCAGGGAAACACTTTATGCACATAATAGACAAATTCAAGTGGTTGTATATACTTCTGAATGAAGTTTCCTGAACCAGGACTAATCCCAACAGAAGCAACATAGCAGCATTTTGGTAAGGGAGGAAGCCAACTTTTTCTAAAACCTTTCCCTTTTTATTTAGATGCAGAACAAAGATTAAAATCATCAAAAGTTGCTTACATTTCTATATGTTTAAAAATACCATTGCCTTACCATCTCTTTTCTTGTGTTTCACCAGTTTAACAAGTGTCAGAATATGCTACATATAAATATCCTAACCCATCCGCCATTTATTAATTCACTACAGAAATATTTTCTACATAAATCTATCATCTTAAAATATAATTTAAATATAACTTTTTAATAAAAAAAACCAGAACACATGATCAGAAGATTCAGCTTGCAGGTAATTTTCAATGTACTAGAACTCTTAATGAAGCTGCTCAAATTATGGCAAATTGGGCAGGTTTGAACAAAATGTGCAAACAGGTTAAGAATAAATGGTGATCACTTCACGTCCACTGCCTCGGACCAGGAGAACTCTATCCAGACCTTCTGTCAGAACTTCCAAAAACTCCATGTCTGAAATATCATTAAGTCAAGGAATTTATTCAGAAAAGAAAAACAGCCACTAATCTCTCAAAAAGTCTGACATATAACGCAAAAAATCAAGTTCAACAGTTTCATCAAGGAGTTTTCCTGTGTCACCCTTTACTGTCCCATTATGTAATCCACCTGCTTGCTCAAGTGGAAGCAAGGCCTAATGGGGGGGGGTGGAGATTTCTTGTTCTGCCCTACTCAACTACAGAAAAGATAAAAATAGAGATTATAAAATAAGTTCAAAATTGAGGAATGCTTTACATCAATTCAATAAAAATACCAAACCTCACCACTACTAACATTTCTTAAGACTTTGTGAAATCAAAAGTCGTTTTCTAAAAGACAGACTTATTCTTACCATGGTTACTAATGGTTATCCTGACAAGTAGACAATGGCACAATCACAAAAATCAAACTCCAATTTCAAGAAATATGGAAGCAATATAGTAGAGGATACAGTTTTCATCCCCTTTTCGGTTTTTAGGAGGTCCAGGCATATTCAGGAGAACTAGCTGAGCATGCTGTGATTTATTAAGCACTACTCCATTGAGCTTCACAGCAGTGTGCATTCTTCTCACATTTGACTGATTCCTAGCATGCAAACAAACATTTTTAAGTATTGTCACAATACTTATTATTTGAATTATGTTATGTATTTGATTCTATAAATTTAATCTATATGCACATAGAACAAGCTATTTTCATGGACACCAGTATTTGCACACATTCAAAATAAATTCGAGAAAATGCAATACCTAGGTTTAAAAGATGTTTTTTCTCCTTTGAAAAGAACGTTTAACTCTGAAATTCAAGCAACTCTAAGCAGAATTACGAAATGCACAAATCTTCCAGTTGTCAGTTATCTTTTACAGAGATGAAGCAAAAACTTAATTTCAATAGAAATTCAACTTCAATAGAAATTAATTTATATTAAAAATTCAATAGAAATTAAGTTTGGTCGAAAACACTAAGAATCCAGTTTGTTGAATTATTTAAAGAGCAACTGGATTTGTACAAGAAATTCCAAACAAAGGAATTACAGGAATGCAATGGAAAGATTACAGCATTTATGTTGTACAGTACAAGATTTCCCTCATGCTCCTTTGGAAACATTACAAGATTACTGTAAGCCTGGTGAAGAAAATTCAGAACTAGCATAGACTTTATGAAAAAAAATAGTAGTTTCTCATGTTATAAGAGTAAGGCAGTAAGCAATGAACTGAAATTGATCCTCTCCCCTTACATCATCAATATTAACTAATGCTTTGCTTGTTGTGTCCACAAATATAATCCGTTGTAAAATTTGTGCGCAAGAGGAAGAAACTGCTAGGACTTCAGGGATTTCCTTATTTTAGGATCTGCCTTGGATGATTTAGTTGCTCTTCAGAACAAAACAAAAGAACAGTTTCCTTATAGTTCCTGAGAAACTGCCATCTGTGTAAAACTAGCCAAGACTGGAAATGAGTCATATGATACAGTGCAACAGAAATAGCCAGACTCTACCTAAGCCCGTTTATCTAAAAGATCCACTACCCAAAAGTAGATTCTTTACAAGTGAAGTGAGTCATTTCAAAGGGAACCTTGGAAACACGGGGTGACAGCACATCTCAAGAACAGAGACACTGGTATGCCGATATAAGACACTTATATCCTGTGCAATTTTCTTAGCACTGTAACTAGTGGTCTCACAGTAAAAGCACAACTGTACCCTGCTCAGCTGGGCTCACATACTGTCCTGTGGCAGAGATAGGACTGGCAGGTTAGTAGCAGCAGAATATAAGACATCCTCTGAAGTGCCTGATCAAGTCTGGCATCTTTTGAATTCCACTAACAGCAATCAAAATTACAGCACAAACCCCAGCACTGTTTCAGCTCAAGTAAACAATAGAAATTAATGAGATCTCTTTTCCCAAAAGAAAAACATTTAGGAGGCCAAAATTTATGAAAGGCAATGCACAACTTTTTTCTACTACCAGAGGTCATTTCAGGGGACTACACCGACACTTAATCCTAGAATCTTCTAGCAACACGAGGCCACCCTCAGATTGTATAAAATGCATGGAGTTGAGAACAGCAGCCAGATACAGGTTCATTCAAACATAAGGGACCAAGACAGATGGAGAATGCTGGGAGCATATGTACTTGTGTTCTACTAACTCCCTTTTTTTTTTTTTTACTATGAAGGGAAAAGCCATTAGCAGGATACTATTAGAAGTAGCATGTCTCATGTTGTATTTTCATCCTTGATTTTCCAGCAGCAGTTAGAAAAAGAAAGGCTTTTGGCCTGAAGTTTAGTGGCTGTGGAGACCAGCTCCATCAATTTCAATTGATTCTTTTTTTTCTTTCTTTCCCCTCGCATTTTCCCCCCAAGACAATGACATTTCCAAAACTGAGTTTATCAGTCCCTCCTGGGGGATTTTCTGTCACAGCAGCCATCTGTCCTAAGAACCAACTCTACAAAAAACGATATGGAACCAAAAGAATACTTCAAGCTCAGTTTTTCAGAAGCAGAACAGCAGCTTGAGAAGACCAAAGAACAACTATGAAGGAGAGGCAAGAGTGTATAGCTGAAGAGGTGTATAAATATTGAAGTAGAAACATTGTTAAACTAAAGATAAAATGCAGGGGAAATATGGAGGGTTTAAATTTGTGATGGAGTGGGCAAGAATTCAGCACTGAAATAAAGGCTAAAGGTAAACTGTGTACAATGTGAATGCAGGCTGACTAACTTCAGTTCTACCAGTGCTTGAAGGCTAAATGAAATCATACATGGTACACAAAGTAAGCTTTCTAAGTTTTCATAAGAAGCTCAATTTGTTAAACAGACAAAATGAAGACAACACTGGGCTCTGGGAAAAAAAAAAAAAAGCACAGCAGTCACAAGTCGGTTCCACCCAAGAACAAGTAGAGATGTAGTGTCCCATTTTTGTATGCTGTCATACCCAATGTATATCTGAATTTATGGTATTTCTATACATGCATGAGTTGCTAGAAGGGAAGCAAGAGCTGGCATTTGATGAAATGTGAAAGTTCCCTTTGTGAACAAATTCATCCTTATTGTCCAAGTAGTTATATCATAATGGGGGCTATTTTTCCAGAACAAAAATATATTCACTTTTAAATGTAGTTAATTAGAAAACTAAATATTACACTGGTGCAGAACAGTACTGTCAAGTTTTACATTCTTACAGAAACTGAAATACATGTTCTGTGACTTACCTTGAATGGAAAGTTGTTAATGTTTTCTTCTAAATATTATCAAGTCACAATGAAGAATACTTTTCATTGATAAATGCTAACTCACAGTATATAAAACAAGGTACAAAAGAATACATGCAATGCAAATCGTGATTTAGGAAACATGCATACAATGTACAAGACCACAAGAACCAGGGAACACGGCCTACATGGCAAGCGAAATGAAATTCAGACTTACAGATTTCCCCATTCTCTACATGGAAGGGAAGCAATGCACAGGAAAAAATATTCATGCCATCAGGTACATTTTTAATTCAACAATATTAATATATTGTACAGGCACACCAAGTTTGAACTGTAATATCCACCCCCAACCACATACAGTAGTTTTAAAATAATAATATCAGAAGTCTGCGTCTTGCACAATTCTAAAGTAGTAATAGGAAATATTTCCAAGATATTAACAAAAAAACCCCTAAGAATTAGAGTATAATGCAGCCCAGAACAAAACAGTGCTTTAGAGCGTGAGCAAGATGTTTGGAATTTGCAGAGGGCAAACTGTTTCCAAAGAGCTCAGAGCAAATCCACAAAACAACTTAGGATTTTGAGGGGCTGATTCTAAGTGTACCTTCTAACTCCACTGTCTACAAGTCCTAGATTTAAGATAGGTTTCCTTTAGATATTAAAAATTCCCTTAACATCCACAGTTTTGCTTTGGGCACGTGCAGAAAGTAGTCTAGGCCATGCTTATAACTGCATTCTTCCAGAACTCAGAAAAGATGCATGTGTGTGCTTGAATCACAACACGAGGAAGTAAACAAGCTGATGTCTTTGTCATTGGTTTTGTGTCTACTACATCAGGCTTGACACAGGCAGTAGCTCTTATCTATTAAGTGACTTCTATTTAAGAAAAAGACATTAAGGAATACTTCAACAGGAAATACTTAATATAACAAGACATATATATAAGCACAAACTTTATATTGCTTTAATTTACAGGATGAGGGTTGAATGTCCATTTCAAAAGAAAAAAAAGAAAAAAAGAAAAACAAACAAATCAACACACCCAAAAGAAACCCCACCCAAAACCCCACAACATAAGCTAAATATCTTGGAAGAGTCTATCTGCTTCTTTGGTAGGCCCTCCACCCCAACAAAACACAATAAATGAGATGGGGAAATGATACACAGTAATTTGTTACCCACAGGAAGAGAGAAAAAACAAAAGTTATCATTAAGCATTTTAACATATATGATTTCTGATACAATCCAGAAGTTGTGCTTACAGCTTGACATCTGTCATATTTAAGCTTCATTCACAACATTCTTGTGAATGACTCTGTACAGTCATTGCTGTTCCACTCAAGTCAATGCTAGTTTCATAAGGATGGCGTTGAAGTGAAGTGCATGGAAAAATCATGTTTGTACTCAACTTTAAATAAACCTGAATCTCTTAAACCAAAACCTAGAACACCACCACCATAAAACCCACACAATAAAAAACACGCAATCAAATACAAAACTCCAAACACCACATGTATACTCACGGCTTCATGTTGAAAATATCTTTAAAGCCAGACACATTTGAATCTTTGGGTTTATGCTTTTCAGCTACAAACTTTTCTTTAGTCCAGGTCATTTGCACTTTTTCCGGCACAGCAGCAGCCACAGTTGCTTTGACCGCTGGAGCTGAGTGCGAGGCAGTGTTTCTGTCATGGATCAGCTGAGCCTAGCCACAAAACAAACAATCACCCCAAGATTAAGCCAAAAAGAGCATTTGTAGATTACACGTTATTAAAATTTTGAAAAGGGATTTCACAGCAGTGGAACAAAAGAAGATACAGAAAAATGTACCTAACTTTGTGAACAAATACCAGACTGTTTTGACTTCAGCATGAAATGAAACTGCTTGTAAAAATGTAGTTATTTGTTCATATTTGCAGGATTACATCTGGGCTGGCACATGATTTTTGTCATGAACTAAAGTGAGGTTGAATCCAGCCTGAGGGTACTTTATTAACACCGGAGGGTTTTGCCAGTGAAAGACTTGAAAGCCAGTGCTCTCATTCTTCATCAGTTATACTGTTATTTTCTCAGATACTATTGTACACACTGTCCATTTCACATGCCTTTAGCTGAACTACCAGCATGACTCTCACAATGCCAGTAACACAACATTGGACTGGCTGAATTGACGGCTAGCTACATTCCATTAGATTTATGAATGCAAGTGCATATTACATAACAAAAGCCAAATCAGTTTAACCATGAAGGGGCCTTTTCTTCCCTTATAGTAGCAGAAACTCAAATCACAGCTCTAAGAACACAATATTGTTGTTCCCACACACATACGCACTTCTGTCTTCTCCATTTCCCATTCCCCTTGCTGCTCTTGAGGAAAGAAGAAATATTTAACACGTTATTTACTTACTTACTTCCCCTCACAATACTCTGTCCATAGGCTTCTGTATTTCCATCAAAAGCAACACAAATACAGTACCTTAGACTCTTAAAATCAAGAGTGAATTGGTATGGGGGGAGGATTGTTTGTGTTTTGGGGTGTTCTGTTTTGGGGGGGTTGGGGTTTTTTTTGGGGGGGGGTCGGGGGGGGTTGTTTGCTGGTTGGTTGGGGGTTTTTTTTGTTTGGGGTTGTTTGTTTGTTTTAAGATCTTTAGCAATTATGAAGTTTCTTCAGAGACTTGTTAAATCATGAGTTGAAGCTCCTGTTCCATTTGGGAGCCTCCATTATTCACGTTAGTGATGGTCATGTCCCTCCATATGTGATGATTCAGAAGAATCAGTTTCATTCAGGTCACAGTCAAAAGCATGAATAAAATCAAAGCAGATGAGAAAACTACTTTTATCTCTCTACAGCGATTCCCCTAGTGGTTCACAAACTGTAATTGGAGCTGTTTTTAAATGCCTAAGATCTTCTGTATTTTTCCTAAATTATTTCTCTAGTCTCTATCCTTGAGGATTCCCAAATCCTAGAGTTCAATTCTGAGGTTCACATAAATATCTATTTGTTTGACGGTCCTCATATCTCCCCAGAAGATTAAATCACAAGTCAAGACTATGAATCAGAAGTTACTGTGAATACAGTTCTATCATGAGAATGGAAAAAAGCTAACAAATACATGCAGATACTATACGTGCCATACAGCAGTACCCAATGGACTGACATTTCAAATTAACAATAGCAGGATGAGTTCAGTACAACTATGCTTTAATGGAAGAAAGTTCACTATTTTTAGAAAGACAGTGAGGCCAAGAAAGATTCTAGACCTATAGTACACATTTATAAAAATGCAAAGGCAACAGAAGCACATTTTTGTTAGTGCTATTTTGATACCAAATTAATTACATGAAATACAACATGGTCTTCTCATACTTCATGAAGAAAGGGAAACACAAAGGTATATATCACTTCTACAAACTAGGCTACACATCTTTAGATATGAGCAACACTTCAAGTGCACACTAAAACCATTGATTACATCCATCCATTTCCTTTCAAACTCACCATTCAGAAAGTAGTAATGACATTTATGGGTTAATAATGGCTTGTCAATAAGCATAGAATCTCCTTAAAAAGCCTTAGTATATCTATATGGTCTCTGAGACACTTCAGTACTTCAATATAGGAACTATAAAGGCAGGCAATGCTTTGTGAAAGCATGAAATACGCTTATTAATGAAACACCCACTATTAAAATGTTTTAAGAGATAGAAGGCAGAGAAGTAGCTTTGCTTCTGGCTCTTAAGAAAAACAGGCACTCTCAGAAACATAAGCGTTTCTTTTATGGAAAATAAGTGTGAGACAAATAGGATGTAGTTCATGTTGCAGAAGCATCATCTAGAGAAAAGAAATATAGGGTAAGATAATGAACTTAGAAAAATAGTACAATTAAAATTTATGAAGAACTGTTCCATAACAATGAATGATCAAGTTGTTCATTTGTAGTTCAATTTGCAATAGTGGCACTTCAAGTGTTGCAATGGGAAAATATACCTAGCCAGTACTATGTCTAACTATGTCTAACCTCCTCCTCTCGATAATCAGTCAGCAGTGCCTGTGCATCTTGGCCAATGGACTGTGGACTGGAGTAGCTTTTTCTTCTGATTGAGCCTCGAGACTCATCAGTGATGCTCTGAATCTGGACAAAAAGGTTACCAATGACAAAAAAAACCCAGTCTACAGAAAAAAGCAGGTGATCATATTATTCAAAATAAAAATTGTCTTCATTTAAATAGATAAGATTTGGTATCATAGCTTGTTTATAAACTTGATTTGTTTTTACAAACACGTCATTTTTTTATATATACTAATGGGGCTTCTTTTGAAATGTTCAGCAGCTAGTTATGAAGTCTCTTTACAGAGATTTGTGAAAACATGAGGTGAATTGAATCCTTTAGTCTATATGGGAACCCCACATATTCACTTGTTTGTGAGAGTCACATCCCTTCATATATGTGATGATTCAGATGAATTGATTTTATTCAGTTACAATCAAAAGTATTGAAAATAAACTTAAGCAGATGAGAAAGCTGCTTTCCAACTCTAAACACTGATGTATTTCCCAGTGATTCACAAACTATAATTGTGGTCCTCACCTACATGCACCCACATTTCTGCCAATCTTACCTAGCAGCAGCAATCTGCACAACAGCACTTGCGCTGCACAACCCAACAGAAAGTAGTGGTGGGATGGATGACTGCCTTCTCACAGCTCCAACAATATCACTGCCTGGCCTAACAGTCATTAGTCAGGACTAGCCCGAGAAGGAAGCCAACCACCACCAGGAAGGGCAGCAAGGACGTGAACGAGGCTCTACATTTTCTTTCATCTTTGCAGCACTATTGTCAAAGTCAAAAAAATAAAAGTTTGGCAGTTGCACCTAAGTCTGCAGATCTTATGCTTTGCAGGCATGTGTTATGTTTACACTCGAATAGAAGAAAATCAACCAAGTTTCTCAAAAAAGGAAACAAAAAATCTGATGAGTCCCCGTGCCCCAGTTCCACAAGAAAACCCAGGGGCAAAAATCAAATAAAGTTCCATTTTAAAAAGTGGCAGAAGGGGGTGTGTGTGGTGTGGTGTGTGTGTGAGGGTGATTCCTCAGGGATAAGAGCATGCCTATAAGGGAAACAACAAAAACACTATACAAAAACAAATTCTCCTCCTTGTGAGGGTTTGAACCTCGTTTGAAGAGGCACCAGCACAAAAGTGAGGTTAAAATACTAACCTCGATGGTAACGAAACAAAACTACAAGCACCATTCAAAGCTGGAATATCAGGATTACATTTGAATGACTGGAGACAGATAATGAAAACAAAAGCAATGCTAATTTGAACTAGTGATAGTAATGAGAGAAATGGTTTGGAGTTCATCTAGAGGCAATGGCTCAGCTCATTTAAGAGATGGTCAGATTAAGAAAGGGCCTGGCACACTGAGTGCATATACTCAACCTGTAGGCTCCAGAAGAAGCTAAGGCATAACTAAACAACATTTTCTGATGAAAATACAGAAGAACAAGGTAGATTAAGATATCCTAATCAGAAACAGACGGATATGGCTTTTATTCTTGGACAAGGCAGGAAATAAGTACTAGATGCTCTTGGAACTATTAAGGATTTTGCACCAGACCATGAAATAAATTCAATGGTATTTTGAACATCTCAGATTTTACCCTGCCTGATATGAAGGAACAAACTGAAGCTATAATGGTGATGCATTCAGATGAAAGTGAGTAATAAAAAAAAAAACCACTCACCAAATCCAAAAAAATCCACACCAAACATGGGGGAGGAGAAGAAAGAAGTGAAAACTGCCAAGCAAACAACACTCTGAAGTAGTGCAGATTCCAACCAACTCACATAGAGCTGAGAAGACATTCTTTTGTCTCCACTACAATTTATGTGCTATAGACTACAGAGCCTTACATACTTGGGCTACTTGTAAAGCATTTATGAGGAAGTTAAATCCTTAAAAGCCTACTGTGGATTGATTAATCACTCAAACGCCACTGGAAAAATACTAGTGTTCAATAAAGAAATGAGAAAATTTTAAAAACACTGAGTAAGGAGTACAGGAGAGCTTGTTTTTTTACTGAAAAGATGTTAGGCAGGCTCAGATCAAAAGAAAACTACCATGATGCAGATGAGAAGAAAGAGGATTTACAGCAGCACATTGTTGTAGCAATACAAGGCATCTTTAGGAACCTTAAGTAAATCCTGCGAAACGGAAAAAAGAATATTAAGGAGAGATTAAAAAAACAAACAAAAAAAAGGGACTGCACGGACTTGTAGGATTAACACCAAAAAGGCTTAGGCATAAAATGAGTTACAATTATCAGCAGACAAAAAAAATCCACAAGAAAAAAAATACTAGTTATTTTACAAGTGAGCAGTGAACAGTAGAGATCTCTTACTTGGCACGGGAGGGAAATCACTATAAGTGATAGCAAAGCCAAAGCATTTAATACCTTTTACATCACTAAAAAGTGTTGATAATAACAGGGTAGTTAACAGCATAAATGAGGGGGTAGAAGCACAAACCAAAATAAAACAGAAAAAGATTTAACAGTTACAAATATTCACAAAAATACAGCTGCATGAAGCTTGCCACTACAACGTGCAAAATACCACCAGGGACTAGTAAGGGTAGGGGAGCATCAAACGTAGCATTCCCATCTGGATATCATAGGATTATAGGTTAGTCAGCCTAATTTTGGCTCCAGAAACAACAATTAGTTGATACGTAAAACATTCAAAATAATGCAGAAGCTAAAAAATAGTTGGCGTGAACAGAACAAGACCAAGTCACAAACAAAGCTCATCAGCCCAGTTGAATAATCATGAACCTTAGCTACTGATATATGTCAAGTTTGGAAATGCTCTGGATATATTCCACACTGATGCTCAAATGTTTTGCTGGTAAGTACTTGCACTAATCTTAACAAGAACAACTCTAAACATATGTTCAAATAAAAAAGGATTCCCCCCGCCATTATTTTAACCTTGCAAGTGAAACCTGCTGTAGAGAAACTAACATAGAATGCAGTTATAAAAACTTTTGACTAGCTCGAAGCCGATCAGAAGCCATGGCAAGGAAATATTACTTTCAGATTTTTCACAGAACATCTTGCCA